TGAACTCACAGAGATCCGCCTGTCTCTGCCTCCCGAGTGCTAGGATTAAAGGTGTGTGCCACCACGCCCGGCCTAAATACATTTAAAGAAAAAAAGTAAGGTGGAGAGTGATCAAGGAAGATACTCAATGTTAACTTCTGGCCTCTACATGCATACACCAGCACCCGCACACCATGGGCACATACACCGAAATATTTTTTACACTTTGATTTTGTAATTAAAATCAAAGTTTTTTGTTCATCTATAGTGCTTAAAATATATAAGTTCATCAAAAGAACTTCACCCAGGGGCTGGAGAGGTAGCTTGGCAGTTAAGAGCACTGATTGCTCTTGCAGAGGACCCAGGTTTGGTTCCCAGCTCCCACATGGTACCTAACAACTAGCTGGAACTCCAGTTCCAGGGGACCCAACACCCTATTCTGGCACACACAGATGCGTGGACATACATGCAGATACAGCACTTATATAACATAAAATAAAAACAAGTACAAATGCCTGGCGTGGTGGTGCACGCCTTTAATCCCAGCACTCGGGAGGCAGAGGCAGGCAGATCCCTGCGAATTCGAGGCCAGCCTGGTCTACATAGTGAGTTCCAGGACAGCTGGGGCTACAGAGAGACCCTGTTTCAAAAAGACAAAAAAAAGAAAAGAAAAAGAAAAGAAAGTACAAATAAGCTGAGCATGGTGGCGCACGTCTGGAATCCCAGAATCCCAGAATCCCAGAACTGGATAGGCAGAGGTAGGAGGACAGCTTGAGACTAGTCTGGGTTACAAAGTGGGATGGACCTTGTCTCAAAAAAATCATGCAAGGAGACCCACACTTGGCCAATGTGCAGAGAACAAGAGCCCACAGAGTACCTAACCCTGAATAGGACAGCTATTTCAAACCTCTATTTCCAAGGCTCAGGCATCATTGTGGCAGAGGAGGCAGAAACAGCCAGAGGTGGTGGATGACCAAAGGAAACAAGAGTCTTCCAGACAGCTGGTCATTTGCTCATATGAATTCTCAGCAATAGTGACAGCAAGCACAAGTCCCATGCAAGCTCAAATCAGACAAAATCCCAGCATAGATATGGGGAAGTGGATAAGAAATTCCGACCCAACCTAAGCAACTTTTGGCAACTGATGGCTGTTGGGAGGGGGAAAGACAGTACCTAGCAGAGTTGGAACTCTTTGGACCCAATGGATGGAGCCACACTGAAGAACACTGGGGGATACAAATATCAGATACTCCCCTGGCTGGGGGATTTCCCCAGAGGCCTTCTCCTCTAGCTTCCGCAGCACCACCTGCCCATGGAGGCTATCTTTCTCACTCTTCTCTAAGCTAGCCCTCATTTTATTTTATTTCATTTTATTTTGTGTGTGTGTATTGCCTGCATTTAGGTCAGTGCACCTATGTCATGCAATGCCCGCAGAGGTCAGAAGAGACTGTCGGATCCCCTGGGACTGGAGTTACAGACAGTCGTTAGCTGCCATGTGAGTGCTGGGATTTGAATCCAGGTCCTCTGCAAGAACAACCAGTGCTCTTAACTGCTGAGCCATGTCTCCAGCCCCTTATTTATTTTTATTTTATAGGTATGAGTATATGGCCTGCATATATGTAAGTGCACCCATGTCATGCAATGCCTGTGGAGGAAAGAAGAGGGTGTTGGATCCCTGGCACAGGAGTTATGGGTGGTTGTTAGCCACCCCATGTGGGTGCTGGGATTAAACCTGGATCTTCTGCAAGAACAGTCAGTGTTCTTAACCACTGAGCCATGTCTCCAGCCCCCAGCTATCCCTCTTAATGAAGCTCCTCTCTAGGTTTTAAAGGTCTCTTTATAGCTCCATCATGTTGCCTCTAACATGGTTCCTGTGGTTATGATGCCCGCTCTCCTAATAAAAAAGTTCTTTTTTTTTTGGTCTTTTTGGGACAGGGTCTCCCTGTAGCCCCAGCTGTCCTGGAACTCACTATGGAGACCAGGCTGGCCTCAAACTCACAAAGATCCACCTGCCTCTGCCTCCCAAGCACTGGGATTAAAGGCATGTGCCACCACGCCTGGCAAAAAGTTCTATTAATAAAGCACAGCTCTTTACACTCTAACATGAACCCTGAATGTTAAAAAGGTGCTTGTCAAATCCAATAACCATTTAAAAATTTTTTATTTTTATTTTATATGTGTGTTACCTGTATGTATGTATGTGTGCCCATATGTGCCATGCCTGCAGAGGCCAGAAGAGGGCATCAGATCTCCTGAAATTAGTTATAAATGGCTGTTAGCCACCATGTGTGTGCTGGGAACCAAACCTGGGTGGCATGGAAGAACAGGCAGTGCTCTTAACCTGAGCCATCTCTCCAGGCATCAAAACCATTTTTAATGAAAACATGTTAAGAATAAGAAGCTGGGATAAAAAAAACAAAGGCACTGAAGCCCCAAGTTACTGTTCACCATAATGAGTACTACCAGGCCAGCACAAGGCTGCCACATTGTGTGCCCAGCTGCGGCTAGCCCAAGGTGGGGCTGGCTGCCGAGACAGGCCCTGAAACCACACAGTGGCACCAGCACTAGGGCAGGAGAAGTGGCTACTGTTGGTGTCAAGAAGAACCCAGCATGACCTGAACCCGTGATGCCACGGGAGTGGAAAGCAAGTGGAGTGGTGTGGAGTGGCCAAACTCTAGAATGTGACACGGATTTCACAGCGGCAACCCCTTGGCAAATCAGAAGGAAAAGATAATAAAGATAATGTACACCTGGGAACTGTCTCAAATGCCAAGCTTATGACACAAAGGAAATGACAGCATTTTTCTGAAAGAAAAAGGCAAGGTCTTAAGGAAGTCAGAGGCAGGGTAGTAGCTAGTGGCAGGGCATGCTCTTAATGTGAAGCTCTCAGTTCCATGCCTGTAATCCCAAAACCTGGGAGGTGGATGTAGCAGGATTAGGAATTCAAGAATAGCCTTAACTATAAGAGACCCTGTTTAACAAACAAAAATCAAAAAACCAAATAGAAGTTGCTGTGGATATAGCTCCTTGGTAGAGTAACTCATCTAGCAATCCCAAAACCTAGGCTCTATCCAAAACAGAACAAAACCTTACTAATCCCAAATGGTTTGTGAGATTAAAGGCATTTCAGTGACAACATCACAAAGACTGTTTTATATTTGAAAGAAAGGACAAGTTCATCTGTAAAGATACTCATGATCTCAAAGATGAGGATGGGAAATTGGCCCCATATCAGTACTCACTGGAGAACTTGGTAAGGAAATGGTAGATGGTGGTACCAATAGTGGACAAATGTACTGCCCTGCAGCAAGGATGGACCCTAAACAAGTTCAGGATCACAAATCACAGCATCTCCAACTCACTCCTTCATGGATTCATGTAGGGAAACTAAGTCCATAGGACAAACCTACATCAGGTGTTGGCATTCTAAAACCAGAGAGTCTACATCAAATCCCAGATTCTAGCTTCTCCTAAGCCCCAAGAGCAAGGCCCACAGGGCCTCACCCTGTATGGCAACCAACTTACCTGCACACTTCAGGGAGAAGCTGTGTGCACAAACCTTTATGTTACCACCAGCACAGAGTCCACGACAACGGTCTCGAGATGGTACACAGAGGAGTATCTTACCCAACAGGCACGTGGTAGGACCCCACAGGCAGGGCAGACACAGGGATATTCTCAGCCAGCTGTGTCAGGGTTTGACCAGATGCTCTATGTGCAGTAGCCATCCAGCCACAGAAATGCTGCCATGCCCAAGAAGCCCAGAAGCTTTGCTGTTCATCCCAACACTTGACAAAAGCCAGCAAGCCAAAAGCACTTTAACAGCAACCAAGTCTTCACAGATGCTTGTCTTTGTTTTAGGGGATTAAATCTGTCTCAGGAAGCAATATTGATTATGTTTTACAGCCGAGGAATTAGTTAACAGCCTTCAATGAACACAAAACCCTCTGGTAGAGGGAGTGCAGAAGCAGCAACACCGGGGTCCAGACTTCCACAGGCGGCAGCAGGGATTAAGCGGGAGGAGTTGCACTCCTTTCAGTACTCTGAGCTGAGAGCCCAGGGTGGGATAGGGCATCTCCTTGCCTTGTCCTTTGGGAAAACAGGGCAGGACTAGTGGGTATGGGGGACAGTGCAAGGAGCACAGCGACTCTGGGAGAGTGCAACTCCATGCATAACAGGGAGTGTGGCTGCTGTTTCCTCTAAGAAGCCCCTTGGACTGGCCTTGCACTGCCACCACAGCCTCACCCAAGATGCTGCCACTATCTGATAGTCACTGTCAGCTTCTAGGCTTTAGGTACCAGAGGGAATGGCTAAACCCACTATACTCAAGACGCATCTGAGCTAGGCAAGGAGTGTGTTGGGTTCTTGAAAGAAGAAAGTACTCATGGAAGGACTGCCCTGTTATGGGCGGACTCTAACACCCAACACTGCTGTGAATAGCCAAGAAGGCACTGGCCGAGGCCCTGTGGGAAGCCATTAAACCTGACAGCTGTGTAGGCACGGGGAGACTGGTCACTCTGGTGGTTTCAATAAGAATGTCCCCCACAGCAGGGCGTGGTGGCGCACGCCTGTAGTCCCAGCACTTGGGAGGTAGAGGCAGGCGGATCTTTGTGAGTTCGAGGCCAGCCTGGTCTACATAGTGAGTTCCAGGTCAGCTGGGGCTACAAGAAGACCCTGTCTCAAAAAAGAAAAAAGAAAATAGGGTTACCAAAGTGCATAGTCAGTCAGGGCTATATATCCTACATATAGAGACCCAGTCTCACAAAACAGAAACAAAAAGCCAAACCATCCAAACGAAATGCTGATGGTACATCTATCTGCATACTGGGATGATGAGCACTTTCCTAAGACTCAATATACTACATGGTTATAACCCCCAAGATAAACAGATGAAAATCTAAGAGGAAACAAGGAGTAAGGAGCAGAAGCTGCAGCGTCTCTGACAAAGCACGAGTCCTGATACTCGCTCTGCATCCTCAAGCAGACAGGGGTGGTGACATGGTCAGTGTCAAGCTACTTACTCACGGCTTATCAACCTCGTGGTCCTGGTACAACTGAGACAAGCTCGATCCCTCAGACTACCTACGACAAAAACAGAGAAAAGGTAAGCAAACAGGCCGCAGCCAGGAGTCTTTGCACGTCTGAAGGGATGTTTCTGGAAGATGGTTGGGAGGGAGTGAGGACTTCAGAGCACAGTGGACAGAGGATCTGATCTCCCAGTACAGAAACTGGATCTCAGACTAAGCCTCACAGGACACTGAGGGCCTGTGGACCCCCTCTCCCCCAACTAACTATAGTTGCTGTGGGTGTGGAGGGGAAGGACACGGGCTCCCAATGAATAGACAGCGCTGCAGCCCAAACAACAATCAAAGGGAACAAGGGCTGAGAATTACTGGAAAAACAAATGCCACCAAGCCTGAAGCCCCAAGTTCAATACCAAGGACCCACATGCTGGAAGGAGAGAAATGACTCCCAACAAGCTGTCCTCTGACCTCCACATGCATGCACACACACACATACATAAATGCATTTCAAGAGTCAGTAGCGATGACTACAACGCACTTCAGAACTTCTGGAGCTAAGTTCTGCCCCACTCTTGTTCTCTTAAGGCAAATAGTTGGGATTTTGTTCACACCACCGTGTGTGAAGTGGGAAGGGGTTTGGGAGGACAGCTATGTGCAGGATGGAGCCAGAAGCACCATCCTCAGCAGGGGTCAGGCGGCCCATGCAGAGGTCAGGCAATTGCAGGAGCCACCGAGGCACTGGGCAACAACCTGAGCTACCATCTGGCCCTCATTCTCCTCCAGTCAGTGTTGACAGACACCAAGTGAGGGCATCCATTGTCATCTATGTCATTAACGAGGCTGTGCCTCATTGGGGAAAGAGGCTACGTTTAGGGTCCTGCAGCACTGGGAGTTCCTTCAGTCACCACTAGTCACAGTTCATGACATGGGATGTCAGCTGTATTTTTTATGACGTCATCCCTTTAAAAATTTATTTTTATTTATTTATTTTTTGGTCTTTTTGAGACAGAGTCTCCCTGTAGGCCCAGCTGTCCTGGAACTATGTAGACCCGGCTGGCCTTGAACTCACAGAGATCTGCCTGCCTCTGCCTCCCGAGTGCTGGGATTAAAGGTGTGCACTAAATTTATTTTTCTAACCTTTATTTATTGTGTGTATGTGCATGCATGCAGAGGTCAATGGACAACCTGCAGGATTTCATTCTCTCCTTTCACCATATGGGCAGCTCTGGCCTGGAACTCTCTAGGTAAACCAGACTTACCTCAAACTCAGCTGGTGTTAAAGGAGCCTGCTACCTCAAAGACAGCAACATTCTAACAAGCATCAAATGTTACATTTTAAGTAGAGTGAGCCACACCTCAAGCCTTTCCAACTCTTTTCTATCCAAACAGGGCCAGTAATTCCTCCCTGACCCTTCCAATTCCACCACTGGAAGACTTGGCTCAGAAATCCCCCTCCCCTCAGCAGACAGCCTGGGTGGATCTTACTCTGAAGTCCCTATCCCACCAGTTCCCTTCATGGATTCTCCCCCAAATACCCTCTGAGGGCTGTTCCAGCTGCCCTGTCAAATCCATCCAGGGTGATAGGCTAGATTCCACTACAGGTACCTAGGCTGACTGCAAATCTGCTAACTATGAATTTTGGGGTTAGGCTAGAGAGATGACTCAGTAGTTAAGAGTTCTTACAGCTTTTGCAAAGGACTAGGGCTCAGTTCCCAGCACCTATGCAGCAGCTGACAATCACCTGCAATTCCAGGTCCAGGGGATCCAAGGTCCTTCTAATCTCCAAAGGCACCTGTACACGTGTGATGCACATACCCACACAGGCACATAAAAATTTAAACATACATATATTATGTGTATTATATATATATATATATAAAATACACATACATACACATATGTATGTATATATATAAAACATAAAGGTTTCCATGACTCTTTCAAAAGTTTTGATAATTTGCTATAACAACCCACAGAACCCAGCAAAGTGCTCTACTCTCTGTCACGGTTCAGCACAGATGATACAAGGGCTATAATGAGAAGCCAGAGAATGAGCCATGAGGGCATGGCCAAGAGTCCTGAACAACTCAGGCTCCTTCTGTAGCCTCCTTCCTCTGGCCCAGAGCTCTTCTCATCTGCTGCCTCCCTGGAGGTTAGGCTCAAGTTTCAGCCCTCTAATCTCAGCACAGTAGGCCTCATTTCATCTGTCAAGTCACTCCCTACCTTCCCTTCTCAGATGAGGTAGAAAAGGCTCCTTAAGTTACACAGCCTGGGGCTGGAGAGATGGTGCAGTGGTTATGAGCACTTACTCTGCTCTTCCAGAGGACCTGGGTTTGATTCCTAGCAACCACATGGCAGCTAATACCCATCCTTAACGCCAGTTCAAGGGGATCCGATGCCTTCTTCTGGTCGGTCTCCATAGGCACTAGGCATGAATGGGGTACACTTACATACATGCAGGCAAAACATTCATACATATAAAATAAAAATAAAAGCCGGGCGTGGCGGCACGTGCTTTTAATCCCAGCACTCAGGAGGTAGAGGCAGGCAGATCTCTGTGAGTTTGAGGCCAGTTTGGTCTCCATTAGCGAATCTAGGCCAGCTGCAACTATTGGGAGATCTTGTCTCAAAAAGACCAAAAAATAAATAAATAAATAAATAAAATCTTAGCTGGGCATGGTAGCGCACGCCTTTAATCCCAGCACTCGGGAGGCAGAGGCAGACAGATCTCTGTGAGTTCAAGGCCAGCCTAGTCTACATAGTGAGTTCCAGGACAGCTGGGGCTACAGGGAGACCCTGTCTCAAAAAGAGTAACAAAGCTTTGCTGTCGCTCCAAGGGCTTCAAGACACAGTGCTGGGAAGAGGAACAAATGCTTTTCTCTGCTCCACCTGGCCTCCAGGAGACTGCTATATCCTCCCAGGCAATCTCTTCCCTGACCTACATGCAAAGTCTGCAGGTCTTGTGCACCTGCTCTGTCAATGGCTGCACAAATATGGGTCTCACTCCAAGCCAGTAGTCTTCTGCCTTCCTGAGTCTTGCCTGGTCCTCCAAGACTTCCAAAATGGCACTGTGGCCTCTGGACTGGATGGGTCTCTCTCACATAGTCCAGGATCTGTCAGCCCCACTTCATACTCAGTGATTTCCTCTCATAGAGGACAGCACAGATAGGGGAGGGAAGGGGAAGGAGAGGACCTTCACAGGAGACAGAATAAGGCTCAAGAATGACGGGTATCTGGGTAGGGTGTTGGCCTCAGCTCATTCACTGTGACTAAAAACTAGGATGTCCATCCTAGGCCTGCAGCCTCCACCAGCACATCACCCCAGGGAGTGCAGGGACTTGCTTTCCCGGCTTGCCCTATTGCCACCCGCTAACCAGCTGACTTATTTCCTGTCACGGTGGCAGCATCTCTGTACAAAGGACACGGATTAACTACGGAAAACATTCTTGTACCTGGAATAAGACTACCCCCCTAGTCCCGCCCCCCTCCAAAAAATCAGCTAAGTAAATCAGTTCATTTTAAAGCCATACACATGCCACAGAGAGGCGGCAGAAGTCCCGTACAGCATCTTGAACAGGGCAACAGGTACACAGGGCTCTCGTGGCAGACGCAGCTCCGACACCTGTACCCACGGCCAGTGAAGCTTTGTCTTTTCCACCAAACACCACTGATCCCGGGAACCAGAACTGCTCCCGGTTAACCCCCGAAATCCCTGCCCAGACTCACTGGGCAGCTGTCCTCCTTGCCAGAACCTTGCCGGCAGGACGTCCGCACACTCAAGCCCAGCGGGCCCTGGGATGCAGGCCCTGGGGTGCTCAGCCAGCCCCGCCCCAGAGAGCGGCCCACGGTGCTGGCATCACCCACAACCCAGACTGGCGGTCCTGCAGCTCCGTCTCCAAGGCCGGGGCTGGCCAAAGGGCGCGGCTGCGCTCCGGTCACCCGCGACGGGAGCGCCGGGGCCCTAAGGTGCTTTCCCCACCCACCGGGGGAGGCGGCGACCTGCGGCGACTCGGCGGCTAAGGTCATGGGCCGCGCCGCAGCCCCGGGGGCCTGCTTCTCGCCGCGCTGTCCCAGGGCTCCGAGGGTACCCAGCGCGGTTCCCGGTGGGCCCGGTGTGCGGCGGCCGCTTACCACGCGGGGAGGCGGCGCGTGGCGGGGCCAGGCGGGCGACTGCCCGACCGCGGCAGCTCCTGAGCAAGATGGACGCCATGCGCCGGCCTCCGGTGGCGGCCTCCGGTTCCTGAGCGGCTCCTCGCCGTCCTGGCCCGTGAGGACAGTTGACCGCAGCGGTTGGCTCAGGTGGCCGGCACTCAGCTCAAGGACCCGGCACCGGCGGCGGCCATATCCCGGCACAGACGTCCGGAGGCGCAGGGTGGGACGGGGCGGGACGGGGCGGGCGGGGCAGTTCCCATTGGTCTCCCGGGGCCCGCCGCTGGCCAGGTGAGGGGCGGCCCGCGCAGCGGACTACGGGTCCCAGTGTGCAACGAGTGGCCCAGCTCACGGACTACCTGTCCCAGCGTGCACTGGGGCCGCCTTCTCTCGCGGACTACAAGTCCCACCGTGCATCGGGGCTCCTCCACGTGGGGTGCGGTCAGCCAGACTTCCAGGGGGTGGAGGCCGGGCTTGCGAACTGGCTCTACTCGCTTTAGAGTTGCGGTCGCAGTGGCAGCGGAAGTGCTGGCAACTCTACGACGGGGCCCTGCCCTAGGCCAAGCAATCGGCTCTTCGGACCTTGAGGAACAGTGAGTTGGCGGCAGAACACGCTCCGAGGGCGGAGTAGAGAGCCTGCTGCACGCCTACGTTCTGCCTGCGACCCTGCTCCACAGTGGACCGTGCACCCGGGTGTGCACACTTCCGGGGGCTCGGGTGGCACTCCCAGCCCCTCTTGGTCACGGCTGGTACTTAGCACACATCCATCCCTGTCCCAGGAGGGGTGTGCAGCGACTGCTCCGGGCTCCCCGCCCGCCCCTTCTCACCGTCCGCTTAGAAGGCGAGGCTATATCTCGGCGGCCTTTAGGATACCCACCGGAGCGGGCTGAGCCCACAAACCCACAGGGCATCCTAGTTCGCTCCTCTGCAGATCTCTCAGATGGTTCCTCACAAAGCCTCCTTCCTGCTACGGAGCCCTGGCTTGCCAATTCCAGGACACAGATCTTGCAGCAACCTCTCTACCTTATAGTGACAGGAACGGCAAGCTGTGAAAGCGTGGGGACCTAGGACCCAGCGCCTGCACAAACCTATATCCCAACCCCGGTGGACCAGACCATCCTGAGACTTCCCACATGCTTTCCAGTCCCATTCTTTGAGGGTGTGATGTAAACCACGCACAGAAGGCGAGGGTCCAGTACTCACTCAATGTTATCTGCTCTCTGGGTGCACAGGCAGGCAACCCCTAATCCCAGCTGGCTCCTGACAAGGATGCTTGTAATAAACAGCAGTATTCCATCACAGCCCATTGGGAAAGAGTAACCTGCCTAGTCATTTTTCTGAACCAGTACCTAAGAAATGGGCCTGAGTCCCCAGCTTGGGTGGGAGAGGGTCTCTGGGGGTGTCTGGAAGCTCTCCTATCCCCTAGACTTTGTTCACTGTAAACATCAGATGCTGAGTTAAGCCAAATACAAGAATGCCCAAACCTGGGCCTATGCTGCCCACAAACTGTAAAGGGGACTCCACCCAAAGGGCAAAGAAGGGGTCACAAAGAACAAACAGTTCTTAGACGGGAATGGTAATGCATATCTTAATCCCAGCACTCTGGAGGTAGAGACAAGCAAATCTCTAAGTTCAAAGCCAGCCTGGTCTACACAGTGAGTTCCAAGCTACATAGTAAAACCCTGTCTCAAAAAACCAAAAACAGGCAAACAGAAAAAAAGTCCTTGTTCACCCACCCACTGGGGTAGAGCCTGAACCAGCAGGCAGAACTAGACTTAAGCTCTTGTAAAATGGTATCCTAATCCTAGTAGAGACATTAACGCTGCTCTCCAAATGGCCTGTCCAGATGCCATTGAGGGGCAGGGAGAGAACCTTCAGTGCTCTTTGGCTGGATGCCCTGAGGCTGCCTCTCTAGTCTGCATTTATTGCCTACTTTGAAGGACACTCTGCCCTACCATTCTCTCTCTGCCCTGCCTGAGGCACCAGGTGTAAGGAAACTGGGGCACGCTGTTGTTGGCGGTGCTCATTTTTCTAACAGAAATAGCCTTATTGGATTCTAATTATCCAGAGTATGTGCCCAGTGTACATTCGTTTATGTAAAATAAGCATAAGGAAGTTAAATTTGGTATTCCTCCAGCTTTCCCCAGCCAAGTGAAAGTTGGTACGTCCTCCTGCCCTGCATCTCAGGCAGCAGTCTGATGGCTCAAACCCCACCCAGCTGTTTAACAGCGTTGACTCTTGTTTTCATATTTTAAAATATTTTTATTTACTGCTGGGCGTGGTGGTGCACACCTTTAATCCCAGCACTTGGGAGGCAGAGGCAGGCAGATCTCTGAGTTCAAGGCCGGTCTGGTCTACATAGTTCCAGGACAGCTGGGGCTACAGGGAGACCCTGCCTCAAAAAGACCAAATAATTTATTGACTTTTATTTTTTTATTTTATTTATATTTTTATTTTATGTGTATGCGTGTATTGCCTGAGTGTAGGTAAGCGCACCCATATTGTGCAATACCAGCAGAAGACAGAAGAGGCTGTCGGATCCCCTGAAACTGGAGTTACAATTGTTAGCTGCCATGTGGGTGCTGGGATTCGAACCCGGGTCTTCTGCAAGAAAACTATTCTTAACCATTGAGCCATCTCTCCAGTCCTCTTGTTTTCATCTTATGTAGCTCAGGCTGGCCTGGATCTCAGGATCCTCTGGCCTCAGTCTCTGGAGTTCCTGGGGCTACTGGAATGGTCTTCAGAAGAACTGAGTTTTTGTTTCTTTTTTGGAGGACTCCGTTTTCCTCCTACACAGTGTTTGCATGGGTGGACAAACAGGGTGAAATATCTTAGCAGGGCAGAAAAGAAAGGAATTAGGGAAGGGTCTGTCTAGGGAGGACTTAGGGATTAGGGTAGAGGATTCTGCAGGGCTGGGGGTTGCCTTCCCCAAGTATGGTACGAAGCTGGCAGAAGTGGATTTGCCTCCTGGGCAAAAAGTGTGAAGAAAATTGAGTGGTGGTGGGAGCAAGCATGGCAGAAAGATTGATGAAGGAAATTGGTTTTGGTGTTTTTTCAACAAGATTTTATTTATGTTTAAGTGTATGAGTGTTTTGCCCAAATGTATATACATGCACCATGTGTGTACCTGGTACTTGCAGAGATCAGAAGCCATGGGATCGATCCTCTGGAATTGGTATTAGCTTTCATGTGGATGCTGGGAACCAAACCCAGGTCCTTTGGAAGAACAGTAAGTGCTCTTAACTACTGAGCCATCTATCCAGCTCTATTTTGGTGTTTTGATACAGGGTCTCATGTAGCTGAAGTTGGCCTTCCTGATCTTCCTGCCTCAGCCTCCCAAGTGCTAGCTTACAAGCATGCACTTACTGGAGTGGCTTTTGCTGGGAAGCTTAATTAAGAAGGAACAGGATGGGGGTTGTCTGGCACTATGGGAGAGGCAGGGTCACTGGCCTATGGGCTAAGGGGATTTGGAGCTAGGTAGCCAAGTGGACAATGTGATGAAGATGCCCACCACCATGTGGTGATGGTCAAGGGAAGGGTGTGTGTCCAAGAAAGAAGCCTGACTCTGGTTGTAGAGCCAGGTCTCCCTCTTCCAGGTGGAAGCCTAGTCATGGAGGCGCAAACACAGGAGAAGCAGCCCAGGCCCTGTTGGAGCTCAAGGCTGGCACGTACACAGGACTGAGACTGCTTGCAGTTTCCCCATAGCACACTGGCTCTCTTTGCTCCTAGTAACCCTGGCTTTCTAGACAGCCAGCTTGTTTTGGTTTGGATTTTTTGAGACAGTCTACAGACATTGCAGACCACAGGTGCACTTACACACATGCAGGCAATACACTCATACACATAAAATAAATAAAAATTTTAAAAAGGAAATATTTTGCTACTTATTCTGTTTTATTTGAAGGCATTTGTTTTGTATGATGTGAGGAAAGGGTCAAGGATTATTCTTAAATGCACACAATTGAGCCAGGCGTGGTGGCACACACTTTTAGTCCCAGCACTCAGGAGGCAGAGAATGGTGGATCTCCGTGAGTTCAAGGCCAGTCTGGTCTACATAGTGAGTTCCAGGCCACCTGGGGCTACAGGAAGACCCTGTCTCAAAAACTGACAAAAAAATGCACACACTTGATTCAGCATCATTTATTGTTAAGGAACAAGGACCTGCTGCAGGGCCAGACCAGTGCTAGACCACTGAGTTATGCCTCCATCTCTGAAAGGGCCTTCCCTTTAGTGGGCCCCCAAAGAGGTCCTCAGTTATCCTACTTCTGGAAATTGTGAAAACTTTATATGGAAAAGGTGGTTTTGCTGAAGTGGTTATATAAGGGAATTTTTGTAATAAAGGAACATATTATTTTTTGTATATACTATATAAAATGGGTTTCTTTGTGACATTTTAATACACTCATATAAGTACTTTGATCATATTCACCATTACCCTCTCTTTTCTTCCTTTCCCAATTTTCTTCTTCTTCCTTTAAATTAAGGATCTTTAAATTTTACTTGATTTTTTTTTCAGACAGTCTTCCCCCATAGCCCTATCTGGCCTGGAACTTGCTATGTAGACCAGGCTGACCTCAATCTCACAGAGATTCACCTTCCTCTGCCTTACAAGTGCTGGGATTAAAGGCATCCAAACCATGTCTGGCTTGGTTTTGGATTTTTAGAAAGTAATTAATAAATTTATTTTTATTTTATGTGTATGAGTGTTTTGCCTGCATGTAAGTGTACCTGTGTCCTGCAATGCTCACAGAGGCCAGAAGAGGGTATTGGGTCCCCTGGAACTGGAGTTAAGGAAGGTTGTAAGCCACCATGTGGGTGCTGGGAACTGAACCTGGATCCCTTGTAAGAGCAGCCAGTGCATTTAACTGATGAGCATTCTCTCCAGCACCTGGTTTTGAATTTTTAAAAGAGAATTTCATGCAGCCTGGACTGGCCTGGAACTTGCTACGTAGTTGAGGCTAAGGCCGAACTCCTGATCCTCCTTCCTCCATCACACACACAAGTGCTCAGATTACAAGCATGTGTCACCACACCCAAATCTAATCTAGTTTTAAAATTTTTTATAGGGGCTGGAGAGATAGTTCAGTGGTTAAGAACACTGGCTGTTCTTGCAGAAGACCTGGGTTCGAATCCCAGCACTCACATGGCAGCTAACTGTAACTCCAGTTCCAGGGGATCTGACAGCCTCTTCTGTCCTCTGAGGGCATTGCACGACATGGGTGCACTTACATACATGCAGGC